AGTTTTAAATAATATGAATAAAGTGATTATACAAATACCCGTGATTTCTTCTATTTTAGCAAAAGAAAAAAAAAGCCCTGTCACATAATATAAATGAGAAAATATTTTTCATTGCATTATAGGCATGATAGGAAATAAAGCATTTACTGACATTCTGCTGGATTTGGTGACCCTGAACCTTGGAACCAACAACTTTCCTAGTAGCTGGATGCACCTTACCCTACCTGAAGTAAGCTTCCATTTTGCTTTGGTTTTAAAGATTTGAACACTCTTCTAATTTGATCAATGAGTCAATAGTTCTAAAATAACCAGTACTTGCATAGTGTCTGACATTTAGTAGGCGATCTGTGAAATTTGAGTGGATAAAAAAATGAATGAACTTCAAATTAAGACACATATGCACATGCTCAGTATGCTAAGAATGGTGATGATCTAACAGTCAATGAAACATTATAGAGACTGTGAGGCTCAGCCATGAGTTTGTATCCATAACTACCAGACGGAATGATCCTAACTAGTAATAGGAGGTGATTCTGGCAGTTCTTGCTTTTCATCATAATCTTTTCCTCAAGAATGTATCAGAAAACAAAATGGTTAAGGATCATTTCTCCATGGGCTGTAAAGCCCCCGCAAAGACACAGCTATTAATATAATCTTCATCCCTCCTCTGTTGAAAAGGTGCAAGATTAACTGGAGTCATGTGAGTAAATTGATTGTGTAACAGTAAGCAAAAAACACACACGTCAAGCAAGCCAAAAAATTAAACACTTTCTAGGTACTGTCTGACGTGGATTGGTTGTTGGGAGCAAAGGGTACAAAAGGGAGCAAAAGTCAGAACTGGCTCTATTTGCCAATAAAAAATCCTACTTCTTTCATCTGAACCTCTTACTATGAAAACCTAAGGAAGCAGAGCTTCAAGATAGAGTCATACAAATATTCCAGTAATATTTCCTGTTTTCTCCTAGTTGCAGGAGTTAACATCTTTATTAACAGTAAACTCGGAGTTCGTGGACTGGCGGAAATTCCTGTTAGTAACTGCGATGCCTTGGCCCATCCCCCTGGAGGAGGAGCTCCTTGAGACACTGCACAAGTTCAAGGCTGTGGATGAGGAGCAGAAGGGCACCATCACTTTTGAGCAGTATATGCAGGTTGTTACCAGCACCTGGGGCAGTAACGGCACCAGAACACTTTTGCCTTAAGTGAATTACTCGCTGATCTACATTGCCAGGTCTCAGGCCAGTGTTTTGCACCTCAGCTGCCCATGTCTCGGCACCCATAGGCAGCACCGGCAGTGTCAAGGCCCCAGGCAGAAATCTGACTTCTATCCCCAGGGAAAAGATCTGGAAAAGTCAGAGCTTCCAGGAGAACTAATGGTTCTGAAAGAAGTCACATGAACTTCATTGTTCTGAGTTCCTAACCAATAGTTCTTCTCTTTGGCTGTACATTAGAATCATCTGCAAAGCTTTTAATAAGCTCAATACCTAATACCCCAGGAGTGGCAAGAACAGTGATAAAGAACACAGGGAAAGAGCAGGTTTTGTCTTTGGGGTGAGAGGGTGGTGAATGATGAGATTGTTTTTGACAAGTTGAGTTTGAAATGTCTGTGGTAGTGCAGATAGAAATGTCCAATCTGATATGGCAGATACAGAGAGAGTACAAGTCACTATAATATAGGCAGTTCTTGAATTTATGAATGAAGATCATCTGAGAAAAGTGATGGATACTCCAGTAAGCATAATACCTGGCCATTGAACTTGGCAAGCAGGATGTAACTGGTGACCTCTGCCAGAGAAATTTTGGTGGAATAGTAAATACAGAAGCCAGATTGCGGAGGATTGAGGAAATCAAAAGGTCTTTAGGAAGTGAAGACAAGAAAAGCCAACTCATTTCTGAGAAGTTTGAGTAAGAAAGGGGTGAGAATAAAAATCCATAACTGAGAGGAACCTGAATTACTTATTTTGTCTCTACTAATTGAATTCATCCTACTACTCACCATTTCACTTTGCTGGTAGACACAAAAGAAGGAAACATTCATAAGGAATGAACTTTGAAACAGGATGATACTCTCTAGGTGCCTGTATCTCACATGTATTTCACCATTGAAAGATCTCATTCCTTCCTGCTTTTCTTTTCTTCCTTAATTAATGGATGCCATGCTTTTATTTATTTATTTATTTAAGATAGCCCTGAAGTTCCCATGCTCATACAGTTGAGCCAGAGGAACTATCACTTGAATAATGATGAGGCTCTTTCAGGGATGATCAAGACAGGTGTTTGGCTGATTGAGCTCTGATAGATTTATTTCCCAAGTAGAGCAATTTATGAATGCTGTCATTGTCCTGGATTTACAATTTGTTAAGGTGGTTTTGTTTGAAAATAATATCAGCAGACCAAAACGTACTATATTTCTAGAGATAGCTTAAGATTTAAAAAAGTGGGCACCCATGAAATTACTGACCTTCACTATTTACTGTATGTGGCAATTAACACAGCATATCATTTGAACATCCTTTTGCACAAACATAAGTAGAACAAAGGATGTTGGCAGTATTTACCGAAATGCTGAGCCAAAACCAGAAAGTTCCTTTACCAAGGTGTAAATTTCTTAGAGAAAGTTGGATGCTGCCTTTAACAGAAACTCTGAAATACTTGTTTGAACACTGCCTATATCTTGGGAACAGTTGTTGCTAAGCTCTTCCCTCTCTCCTTGCTTGCTTAGCTCCCACTCCTCCGAAGCCCCAGGACACTGAGGCCATTTGGAGAGGCCACCTGAACATCCTGCCTGCCTTTTACAGATTTCCAACACTTGCCAGCCTACCGCCCCACCCTCCCCCAAAATGTTGTTTCATGGGGAAAATCAAAATAGCTTTGAGGGCAAAATTTTATAAGATTTGTTAAAAATGCCACATTAGAACAGTAAGATAGCATAACTGTCTTGCTGAAATGAAGTTCTCTGGGAGAAGAGGGCTGTCTCCTATGCTTTTTACTTTGTCTATCTTTTTTTTTCTTTCGACTAATTGCAAGTTCACCACAACAGTCACTTAGGAGCGAGCTGATTCTGCCAGCTTCTAAAATGGAAAAATATACAGCATTTGTGAATTCAGTTGGGCCATGTACCTTGGCTAAGCAATGACAACATAAAAGCCTATTTGCCCTTTGCTCCCAGCTGGGCTGCAGCTGTCTCTGTCATGTGTGGATGTGTAGTCACACTCATGTAGAAGTCTTTGATGTTGAAGTATTGACTCATCTTCTATCAGTGAGAATGCATGTTATTATAGGCTTAATGAGTCAGATGTTCCAGCATCCAAACAGCACAGCACTTATTCTCTAAAGAAAAGTAAAATGCCTAAAATTCTTTGTCCGTGTTTTAGCAAGGGAGTACAAGGACGATTTCCATATTTTAGAGAGAAACCACTTAATACTCTAGTGAAGGAGGATGTGGTTGGCTAAACCTTGCTTATCAATTTAAACTCCTTACTATATGGGTTCCCATTTAACACTTCAGGTTACTAGAATTCTTATGGTTGATTTTTTTAGAAAACAATATGTTTTCTTTCTAATTTGCCCCTTTTATATACAAAACACTTTGAAATGGTTTTCTAATTAATAAAATATCATATATTTTAGAAAACCAATAGAAGGAATCCTTGGTTTTAAAAATCAGGGAAAATCCTATGCCTTGTAGTGATTGGACATAGGATTGATACTGATTGAGAAATGGGGGAGGAGGGGGGACTTTGTTTCTTTTCTTCCTCCTCTAGCTCTTTTAATATTTTCTCTTTATCACTGGTTTTCAGCAACTTAATTATTGTGTTCCTCACTGTGGTTTTCTACATGTTTCCTCTATTTGGGGTTTGTTGAGCTTCTTGAATCTGTGGGCTTGTAGTTTTTTTCAAATTTGGAAAATTTTCAGGATTGTCTGTTTAAATATTTTTTCTGAACCCCCCTTCTTAAAATCTAATTACATGTTTGATTATTAATATTGTCCCACAGGTCACTGATTCTTTGTTTATTTTTTCCTGTCTTTGTTCTCTCTGTGATGTACTTCGCATTCATTTTTATTGCTGTGTCTT